GGGTGGGGAAGAGCTGGGTTTGGGTTTTGATGCCTGCGTCAGGGCAGGCCCACTGGTGCTCAGGCAGACGTGGGAGCAGCCCTGGGCACTCACCTCCTCTCAGCAGTCCCTGCTTTAACGGGCAAAGCCTAGGGGGCGGCAGCGGGGACGGGCAGGAGCCTGCATGGCCGGCACCAGGGGAGGCAGCGGGATGGTCCCCCCAAGCAGTGGGAAGCAAGGGTTAGGGGTGGCTGTCCCCTGCCACTGAGGACCCGTGGGACAGCGTGGCGGTGGGCACATTCGTCTGAGCTGTCTGGGCTGCTTCCCCCTCACAGAGGGTCCAGGGCCTCCCTCCTGTCCCCAAAAGCATGGCATCTCAGAGACACACTCTCCCTACACCGCTGCACCTCCTCTTCCCCATGATGGGCTGGAAGAGACAGGTGGGGACAGGGTGGGGCATGGGAGGGCTGAGCCGGTCCAGGCAGTGGGAGGGACCGGCAGAGCCTCCCGCCACCTCCCATGCAGTGGGGTCTCCCCGTCACATCAGTCCTGTCATCCCCCTGCCCTGTCAGCGAGGTGGCCCCCACCAATGCTGGGAAGGCTCCTTCCTGCCCCCCTGGCACATCCTCCGCTCTCCGCACAGCCAGTCCTCGCCCCGGTGGCTGGGATGCTCACTGGTAGCGGGCCTGGCTCTCCATCACGGGGCCGCTCCTGTACTCGCCCTCCACTGTCTCCAGCTCTGTCTCGAAGCTCTGCAGCCCCCCGTCCTCCCCATCCTCCACCGGCTCCAGGTGGTTGCCCATAGTGCCGTAGCACTGGTGCGCTGGCGAGGCTGCCGGTGTTAGGCTCAGCTCGGGCTCCTGCAGGACGGTGGCCACGAAGAGCTGCCCCAGGGGGCAGTGGGAGGTCAGGGTACAGGAGAGCAAGGTGGGGAGCTGTTGTGGGGCTGGGGAGGGGTACTTACATTGGAGTTGGGGGTGGAGGAGACACTGCTCCGCTCCACATCATTGAAGGCGCCCTCAGACTGGTCAGACATCTGAGGAAAGGGAGGCCGGGATGAAACGACAGCTTGGGGGTCCCCAGCTGCAGCTGGGGGGCAGTGGGAGGTCAGGGTACAGGAGAGCAAGGTGGGGAGCTGTTGTGGGGCTGGGGAGGGGTACTTACATTGGAGTTGGGGGTGGAGGAGACACTGCTCCGCTCCACATCATTGAAGGCGCCCTCAGACTGGTCAGACATCTGAGGAAAGGGAGGCCGGGATGAAACGACAGCTTGGGGGTCCCCAGCTGCAGCGGGGGGCCAGCCAGGCACTGCCTCAGACTCCCCACAGCAAACACCGCAGAAAGGCGAGGAGGGGATGCAGCGGGGCAAGGGGAACAGGACGGGCGGGTGCCTGCCCTCACCTGGTAGCTGGAGGGTTTCCGTGGCTGCAGCTTCTTCAGGCAGAGGCCAAAGAAGGAGAAGATGATGCAGGAGAGGAGAACCACAAAGGTGAAGAGGGTGACAGGGCGGGTGGGACCTAGAGCAGAGAGACACTGGGGCAGCACATGAGCCTCCAAGAACCTGTTGCACATCCAGCTGAGACCCAGGCTGGCACCTGCTTTGTGTCTTACAAGCTCTCAAACTCCTTCCCAAAACACTAGCTGACACCCCCCTCATCTGCCAGGTCCCCATCACACCTTTCCGATTCCCATTCCCCTTCCCACCCTCCATGCCGTGCCTAACTCAGGGGTGACACTGGTGGCTCGTCCCCCCAAGCATCAGATGTGACCCTCAGTAGTGGTGGGGGGCAGCCCCGAGCTCTCCCTACCGAGGCGCAGGACGGAGAAGAAGAGCAGCCAGAACATGCAGAGGATGGGGGCCACCACGACCTGGCTGATGGCGGCAACATGGAGGCGCTGGTTCAGTTTGGTGGGGATGTACACGTAGTAGATATTGTACCGGTCAACCATGTGCTTGAGCAGCATGTAGAGCAAACCTGGCAGGAGGAGAGAGACAATTTGGGAGGAGGACAATGGGGACAGCCAGGGCTCGGGGACAGCCAGGGCTCAGGGACAGTGGCCCGGGGACAACACCCTCCTGTACAACACAGGAAGCTCATACTCCCACACTGCTGCTGGCAGCTGGGACTGGTCATTCTTGGCTCAGCCGGGGGCAGCAGGACTGGGGGCATGGTGTCGTACTCACCAAAGGGGACAATGATGGGGCAGGTGATGCTGTAGGTCATGACGACAGAAAAGATGCAGCAAGTCCAGGCGTACTCCAGTCCAAACTGGAACTGGTAGGCTTGGCTGAGGGGCACAACCAACAGCGCCATTACCTCCTCTGCCTCTGCAAAGGCTGCCCTTGCTTTTGCACCCTGTCCCACACGATTCCCTGTTATTCCCAGGGGGCTGGGGCCAGCAGTGCCCCTTGCATGGTGGCTTGTCCCCACAAGCCTCCCCATAGGACCGGGACAGCCTGAGTTTCCAGCGAGCATGTCCCTGCCGTGCCGGGGGTCGCGTAGGCTTGGAGGTGACCAAAGCCACGTACCCGCTTGACGTGGAGCCGCTCGGGCTCGGACTTGGCGAAGCAGAGGCGGGCGGTGTAGACGAGGAGGCCCGGGATGCGCAGCAGCTCCATGGCCGTCCCGATCAGGCTGGAGGTGACCACGTAGTTGACAAAGAAAGCGCCATTGTCTGGGAGGAAAACGCACCTGCCCCAGGGACACAGAGGGTGAAAGGATGCTCGGGCAGGAAGCCGGGAGAGCTGCTGGGGGTGCGCATCGAGCACTCCCATTCGCCCAGGAGCTCCCTGATACTCACTGGAATTTGATATCGGCCTCATCCAGAAAGTGGGTGTCGAAGAGCCAGCGGAAAAAAAGGTCCAGGCTGGAGGGGGGAGAAGAGGAGTAGCTCAGAAAGAGGGGGAGCTGCAGAGCAACGTGGGGGGCACTCAGCGGGCGCGTGCTTTCTCCTGCCCCAGATGGGCAAGACCCTCTGGACCCTACGCCACCAGAGCAGTCCCTTCTGCTGCACAGGACCACTGTGGTGTGGGTGCTTGCCTTCCCGACATTCAGGATTGCTGTAGCTGGGGCTACACAGATACCTGATTTGGTCCTTTCAGGGTCTGCTGAAGGGCTGGCCCCAAGCAGGGCACCACCAGCACCCTCGGGTCAGCCATGGCAGCCTGGCAAGCTGCTCCACTCCCCTCCTCCTCCACAGGGAAGAATTCTGTCTGTGACCATCTGGGAGCAGCTTGGCACGGCTAAAGAGTGAGTGTTTTCCTCCCCAGAGACAGCCATGTTTCAGCAGTGGTGGGCCCTTAGCCCTTTGGGTCTGGCTTGCAGGAGGCGAGGAGCCTGGGTACGATCCCGGCTGCTGGGGAGCATGGAGAGCAGCTCGGCAGGGTGGTCCATACCTGCTCAGCCCCAGTGAGGGCAGGATGATGACCATGAACACCAGGAAGAAGAAGCACTTGTGCATGGTGAGCTGATTTTCACTTGACCTGCGGAGAGGGGAGGCAAGAGAAGAACATTGCACTTTTCTGAGGCAGAGCAGCCGGTGGGGGGAGAGGCTGGGCTAGGTCTTGCTCTTCACCAAGGAGCTACTCCCAGCCCCAGGAAGCCACGTGCATTTGATCTGTGCATCTACTGGGGCCTTGCAAAGCCTCTCCAAGGCCGGGGAGTCACCATGAGGAAATCTGCTGTAGTGAAAGCTCTTGTCCTCCCAGCCTCTCACCTCCTTCATCCCTGCCCTCTCCTACCATACCTGCTGGTATAGACACCCAACAAGAGGCAGCTGGCTGTCTACAAAGGGTTCAGGAGCCCCCATTTCCCCTGGGAGAAGGAAGGGAGGTGGTGACAAAGCTCCTGCAAGGACTCGGCAGACTAGGTACAGGGGTTGGGGCCAATGGAGGGTCAAGACACAGAGAGCACATTGTAGGAGCTGGGCAGAGTTTCCTCTGCTAGGAGACTTTGAGCATCCTGAACCAATACCTCCACCTTGGAGGGCTGGGAGCACGGCTGAGATGTACCACCCCAGTCAGGGCCATGGCCCTGCTGCTGCCAGTCCCTTTCCCATCACACCATCCCTTTCCCAAGCTTCTTCAGACCCATCTTAAAACCAGCTCTACCTGCCTTTGTCAGCAGCCTGGAAGTGTTCAGGGCTATGGCAAGGAAATGGTTCCTTCGGGCATGGACGTGGGGCTCTTTCCATGGAGGGCAACACCCATGGGGCTCTGTGGGGGTCTGCTGCTCCACTGCCTGCCTCCCTGCAGGTCGGGTCCCATGAGTCCTACTAAGGTTCCTCCCATCTACCGCAGCCCTGGGGGAGCGTGGGGCCAGCCCTGTTACCTTGTCCAGTGCGACTCGAAGAATGCTGAGTAGTAGACAAGGAAGGGCAGGAAGACTGAGAAGGCCCAGAGCAGCAGCGTGGGGAAGAACTGGGTAATGATGGGGTTCTGCAGGAGGAGAGATGCCGGACACCCCCTCAGGAGCCTGCCAGAGCTCAGCCACACTGGAGGCAGCTCTCTGGGCCTCCTGGTGCAGGATGGTGTGTGCAATGGGCAGGCTGGGGCATCCCCACCCTGAGCAGGGCCATTTGTTTCAGGAGATAAGAGCTTGAGGCCAGCCAAAGGCACCACGGGCATGCTCTGAGCCCCAGTGCCTGCCCAACAGCTCACAGGTCAATGAGCAGGAAGGAGATGTGCTGCTGGCAGCTCCTAACATCTCCTGGAGCTCTTCCCAACCCCCTCCTCTTGCATGGACACAAACCTGCCCTCCCCCATGGACACCAGCACCAAAGCTCAGGTTTGCACATGTGCCCCAGTGCTCTGCCACTGGAAACACATCAAGAAGGGGATGGATGGCAAGCAGGGGCACGACCACTCCTTGCCTCAAATCAATGCTCATCCCAGTGATGGCTTGTCTTCTTGGGCCAGTGTAGAGCTGGTGTCCTCCCCCCGCTGGTGCCCTCCCCCTGTCATGGACAAGCCTGGAAATGGACACCCTTTGGGAAAGCTGGCATAGGGCCCCAGGGACTACCTTGAGGCTCTCCACAGGCTGTGTGACGTTAAACATATCCATGGTGTTGACAATGATGGCTGGTGTGGTGAGGAAGAAGAGGAGGACGAAGAGGCAGATATTAAGGAGGATGAATCTCACCCACCAAGATGTACCACGGACCGATAAATTCTCCCTGTGAGAGGAAAGCATGACTCGGACATGGTGCGGAGGAAACGCCACATGTCCTGGGTCTCCTAGCCTGGCTCCCCAAAGCTCTGCCTCCCACTAGCCACACCGACCATTCTGGCAGCCCCTGCTCCGAGTTCAACCTCTCGCCCCTCCTCATGCTGCTGCACTGACACCTGCAGAGCCCCCGGGACCAGAGTATGACTGCAGTGGGGGGTCCGTGCCACCAGGAGGCTTTGGAGTCACGCTGCAGATATCAGAGCCTGGTAGTCACCCCAAACCTCGCCTGGCCAAGCCCTGCCACCCGCGGGGTGATCACCCCAGTCACCCCTGGTGACTTCCACTATGGCCACAGGAAAGATTGTCAGCCCCTGCCACCCTGAAAAGGCACCCTACAGGTATGGGCGCAGGTTCCCTACAGCTATATGGGTTCCCTATAGCTATGGGTATGTGTTCCCCCCCAGCTGCTCGCCCTCCCTCCCTCTCCCGCCACAGAGGTTCACCAGATGATATCGCTGGGTGCAGGGGCATAGCGAACACCCCAGTGGTGTGACTTGACCACAGTGGTGACAGAGGACTGCTGGGGGTTCTTGCGGCAGCGGATGTGGCTGTAGTCCTTCAAAATCCTGCAGGAGGAGGGAGCCAGGGGTTGGGTCCAGATTGAGGGCTCAGGACCACCCCCCCCACCCCCCATGAGACCCTTCCTGCAGCCCCAACAGAGCAGCCATCTCTGCAGGTGGCAGAAGCACAGCAGAGACAGACCCATTGTCTGGCTTTGGTTGGAGGAGCCAGCAAGGTGCCCCAGCAGCGGTGGCCGCCAGGCTGGGGGACATGCCTGTGCTGGCACGTCCGAGGGGCACTCACACAGCTGTCATCCGCTCATCCTGGAAGGTGACGAAGGCCATGTCGAGCCGCTTGAGCATGATGCGGTTGCGCTCGGCATTGAACTCATCCGTGAGCTTCTCCTCCAGCTCCCCGTAGTACTGCTCTGCGTCCACCTGCGGGAGCAGCCGGGGCTCTTCCACGCTCATCGGGCTGTGGCACAGGCGAGCTGCCATGCTCTGCCCTGCCCACAGTGGGGATGTGCTGCCTGCAGCCCTGCCCGCACCCACCTACCTGCTCAAAGCCACAGAAGCGGCAGCAGAAGATGCGGGCACAGGGGTGGGTTTTGATCATGATCTTCCCCTGTTTCTGAGCCTTGGTGGTGAAGTAAAGCCGCCCCTTCATTGCCTTGCGCCTGCCGGGAAGCCAATAGGGACAAGAGTCATTTGGGGAGCAGGAGACAGACAGACAGACAGACTGGGTCCCTCGACATGCTGGGCAGGAGCGGTACACCCACCCGCAGAGGCAACGGGGACCTGCACGTGCTCACCTCTCCGCATCCAGCTTCATCAGCTTGCGCACATCGAAGCAGAACTGGACATTGGTGACAGTGCAGCTGGGATAAGCCTCGCTGCGGGCACAAGGACACGGTGGCATCAGGAGCCGGGGGACAGGGACAGCCCCTGCCACCCGCCCGCCAAC